ACCACCATCCATAAAGGTCCAGTTTCGGAACCTTTATTGCCGATCGTGGCTAGTATACTCGTGCTCAAAGGTACGCAGGCTAGTTTCGAGGTAAAACTACACAGGCTAATTTCTAAATAAAAGTACACGGATAGGCTGACCCAAAATTTCGCTCTTTCACGCGTACCCGAGCGTCCCTAGGTCACGTTTCCCTCGGAGGATTATTTCCGACGCGTCCATCGGTATATTAGCACCGGATTAACCCTATTTTTTTCACTTCACCCCCTACTCGTAGCGTGAATTTTTTTCCTCATTCTTCGTCGGAGCATCTGCGACGATTCCGAGGCGAGAAAGCTTACACCCTCGTCCCAGTTACCCATTTTCACGTTTCAATAAAAAAATGAGAAAGTGCCCTTCGTAGGACAACCATAGAAGAAATTTCAAAACCTATATGTATCATGTTTCCTCTGGAGAAGCTTCGAAGCTAAGAAGTTCATTCTTCGAGCACAATGTTTCTAAGTAGCTCGACGTCTACGGCAGAACTAACTCTAAGAGAAAATATAAAATCGAAAGTGTAACATTTCTGCTGACACAGTAAAGACAGTTCTTTGAAGAATTTCCATAAGAACACATAAAATTAATCGAAACTCCATAAGAACAAACTTAAGGGATGATTGTTCCAACCAGCTTTTCGATCGAACCAATCGACTCCTTCAAGACCGTCGATCAAACGATCAAAGGAAAAAGAAAAATCCAACGGTTGCTAAATGCCGTGGCGCTAGAAGCCAGGAGCGGCAGAGCTCCGGCTCCAGCGGCAGCAAAATGAAAATAAAAAAAAAGCGGTGCACGGGCGGAGAAATCGCGTGATCCGGAAATTTAATCTGGCCTCGTTAAACCCTTTCTCTTTTGCAGCGTGCCGGGGTGAAAGGTGGGTGGCAAAGTGTGCGAGTGCAATTTCGTTGTAAATCTCGCAGGAAAGCCCCGTGAACGACACGCTGACCCAGAAAGTCAAAGGGTTTGGATTCCGTCAAGATCGATTCGAATTTCGTGCACGGCCAACGCGGACCTTTACGACCTGTCCTTTCGAGTTTCCGCCAAAAGGGCTAGATCGCCGTGCCTCTTTTGCGTGAAAATCGGTGAAATGAACCTCGGACACACCCCAATAAATCTCCTGTCCCTCC